AAGGAAAGGAAAGGAAAGGGGTGAAAAAGATTAGAGACAATTCGAGATTCCTTACTCCCGCCCACCCAACCCCCCACAAAAATAATAATAATAATTAAATGGAAAAAAATTAAAGATACCATCGTACACCCGTTTCACTGGCACTGCTTGGACTGTAAAAGGAAGGACTACTGCGAAAGAGTCATAAGAGAAACCACAATAAAAAGTTCACGTTCATGGATGGAGTCCACATGACTTCCTGTGGCCAATCCAACTTGTGATTCAGTCGTAAACTTTTATTGCTCAGCTGTAAATTTTCTGCAAACAACCAAGAATGCGTTGCATTTTTTTTGTGACGAGTGCAAATGCTCTTCTCTGTCGCCATGTTTATAGAATCCCTCTTTCTATATATCTACATGTGTGTATGTATGTGCGTGCTGATACATGCTAGATAGACAGATATAGATAAACACACACCGCGCGACACACAAACGTACAGACCGACTTTCTTTCTGAAGTACGCCATTTGTCCTCCAGGTTTTCCTTCATTAAAATACATGATTGTTGGATACACTGGGAGAGATCTACCGAAAAAGGGCACCGAATGGCCGCTTTCGTTTCTAAGCCTGTTTCTTCATTTCCTTAAATACACACCCATACCAGCTAATGCGCAGGGAGGGGTGCGAGGACGGGCAGGGAGGGGGGAGAAGACAATGCCAGCGCCCATCATGCATCGTTACACTTCTTCCTATTATTACAGCTACCGCACTTACTGTTTCCATGTTGGTTATTATATTTGTTCAAGTAGGAAACCACATTCTCCATGATTTTTAAGTTTCCGGATCGAAGCTTTAATCCAGCAGATGAAATGGTAGGAAATGCCACATGAAGAAATAACAAAAAAGAAAAAGCGTGCGCGCTTGTGTGTGTACATATGCAGGTATGTGAACGTGTATACATGCATCTCTGCACATACAAAAACTTAGGCACACCTATATATTTATACATACATGCATGTGCACACACACACGACCAAGACCTGGTTTGACTCCTATCCTTGAGTTAAGTCGGTGCTGCTATTACAAGGTGGATCCTTTTTGATATTTACGAAGTACCTCATTTTCATTTCCTTAATTTCCGCCTTAGCCCTCTTCTAAAATCCGAATGTATTCCAATACATATCAATGTTGTCCTGAACATATTTTCGGCAGAAGCGTATTATTGTTCCTCTTGAGTGTGAGAAGAGTTGAGGTTTTTTTTATTAGTCTAACACTTACACCCCAAAAGGGTCAAGGGGTCTACTCTATGGCCTTCCACGCCAAAGGGGCTAGCGGAGCTCATATTGTGCATTTTCTCCCCCCAAAATAAGCTCCTTCTGACTTGATAAAGACATACAGATAGATAGATAGATAGATAGATAGATAGATAGATAGATAGATAGATAGATAGATAGATAGATAGATAGATAGATAGATAGATAGATAGATAGATAGATAGATAGATAGATAGATAGATAGATATTTGCTCCATGAGTCATTCACGAAAGGGGAGGATTTCTTAATACTGGATGCAAAAGAGCCAGCGGCTTTTTCTCTATTTTAGTCTTCGCTTCAACTCTAAGATCTCTATTTGTATTGGTGGAATCCACAGGATTTGTAAGTCTGTGATTTGAAGTATTCATTGTAATGTAGGCTAACCTGGATAAGTGAGAAGGCCCTATTTCGAGAAAATTAGGGAGCCTCAAGAATCAACAACGTTTTCCAGTTTACATTAAACGATAGCATAAATGATGGCATAGATTGATATAAATATAGTATCAGAGAGAGAGAGAGAGAGGAAAATGTTATCTTCTGACTGAGCGAGTACTCATTAAATAAGTCATAATTCTGAAGGATGGAGGAACTGGGATGAGGAAATCTACCTCACACCCCACTATTAACCCTAATATTTTGTGCCTTGTACTCTAATATTTGCCAGGCTTTTACTGCATTCCAATGGGTTTTAATATATATATGTAAGGCTAGTCTGCACCCCAGGTCTATTTTCATCCATTATGTTAGGGGGTGTTTTCCTCCCTTTTAAAACAGCTTCAGAATTCTTCTTCCCTAAGAGAAGAGGGTGGATGTGTTTCCTCCAATCCATGTGTGAATGTGTGTCTGTCTGAAACTCTTACTATAGCTTGTGTAATGCAACCGGATGGAAGGGAAATTACTTTTTTCACTTTACAAACCACCAATAAATTTTATAACAGGTAGTTAAAAGTTACGACGAGGAACCGTCACAACAGTGGCTCTGGAGACAATGGACCGTCCGTTCTGGAGGGAGAAAGGGGTCCCATAAAGAGAGCAGGGAATTTTATATGTGTACCAAGAGCATAACCTGCCCCGCACGCTTTTATCCTGTTGCCCAGCAGAGCTTTGACCCATCTCTTTCAGTGCGTTTTGTATCTCTTTCGGAGTCCCCGTCATACCGGTTTGGTTCCCCCACCCCAATTTCTAGATAATGCGGCACACTTCTTTCCTGTAGATGATGCGGATTTCACTTCGCATCTGAACGTGGGTGGTGGTAGTGGTGAGGTCCCATAGAGGCAGATTTCCCAACTTTTTCAAGAAGACAAATAAATGGCTAACTTGAAATTGGAAGAAAGAAAGAAAGAAAGAAAGAAAGAAAGAAAGAAAGAAAGAAAGAAAGAAAGAAAGAAAGAAAGAAAGAAAGAAAGAAAGAAAGAAAGAAAGAAAGAAAGAAGAGTTGAGCATCACTTTGTCTCAATTTATCTTAGAAAATTTCCTAC